TGATAACCACGTGAGAAATTGAAAGCACGGTTAAGTTGAGAATGCATTTAAATCATATAACCTAGTGACTATCAGAGCTTAGTCTCGCGCACCTGACGGGTGCTCAGAGCACTTACAATAGCCTGCATAGGGCGAAATCATCTTGTTGCCCAGCATCACAAGAGGGTATCGTACCACATATTGCTAGCCTGGGAGAAGATCAAAATCCAAAAGGGGAACTATGGATGGTTTCTACTGAGTGGGTATAAACTCCACACCAGGTGAAGCTGAAAAAAATCCTGGATCGAAGACTGTATTCTGAAGGTGAGGCTTTGTGAAAGGACCGGGGGCCAGGGTCTGAGATGATAGGTCCAGCGCCTGCTCTGTGGGCAGCTCTCACCCTCTGCAGCTCCTGAGGTTGTAGACAAATTGGTGCTTTGCTGAGGAAACGTCCAGTGGGCACAGCTGCCTGTTACCTCTAGAAAACCACCTACTGCATGTCTTTCCCTTCTTCCGTCTCCACTTGAAAGCCTGTGCCCTCATGGGAGGGGGGGGGGGATGCAATCTGTAGCCCAACCAGTTGGGAGAAGAAGAAAAGAAAAAACTCTATCCCCAAAAGGTTGTAAACTAGAAAAAACAAAATGGCAGACACAAATGATAGTTGGTATCCCTTTTCTTTTTATTTATTTTTTTAAATATATTTTTACTGATTTTAGAGAGGAAGGGAGAGAGAGAGAAACATCAATGATGAGAGAATAATTGACCGGCCACCTCCTGCATGTCCCACACTGGGGATCAAGCCTACAAACCCTGGCCTGTACCCTGACTGGGAATTGAAACAGGATCTCCTGGTTCAGAGGTCGATGCTCAACCACTGAGCCACGCTGACCAGACAGCCACCATTTTCTTGAAAGGAAGCTTGGGAAGCCAGAAGAGGGGTCAAACTCTCCTGTCACCTTCCCTGTGATGCCAGGAGGTGAGCCTGACATTAAAAATCCATGGCCAACCCGAAATCGATTTGGCTCAGTGATAGAGCATCAGCCTGCGGACTGAAAGGTCAAGGGCATGTACCTCAGATGCGGGCACATCCCCAGTAGGGGGTGTGCAAAAGGCAGCTGATCAATGATTCTCTCTTATCGATGTTTCTAACTCTCTATCCCTCTTTCTTCCTCTTTGTAAAAAATCAATAAAATATATTTTTTTAAAAATTCATGGCCAAAAGCTGCCCATACAGACCCACACCCCCTCCTGGGAACATAGCCGTCTCAAAGCCTGAAGATGGGGGTTCCTGAGAGTCCACTAATGGAGGTGGAGGAGAGAATGTGAGTTGCACTATCCTAGAGAGAGGGGAGGAATCACAGATTGAGTGGAGTTCTGCTTGCCTACTTTCCACTGCCGGAAGTAGCCCAGGAAGCCTGTCAGATGCTCAGACCAGGCACAGTTGGCCTAACGGGGCCAGAAGCTATCCTGGACATTGCTCAGAAGTGGAAAAGGCGAGGATCAAACGCTGGCCTGGGACTGGAGCCCAGGGTCTGGAACAGAGTTCTGGGCGAGATGAGCAGACAGGCCCGCAGTCTCACCGCCTCGGGCCTGCGGTGGAAAGCTCGAAGGTGGCAGCTGCCTGCCAGCCTCAGCGCTGCTGCCAGAGCTGCACCCTCCCCCCCCCCCCGGATGTGGCTGGGAGAGACCGGGCCGTTTAGCTCTGTGCCGGCCTCTCTGTGCCAGGGCTGCTTGGGGAGCTGCCTGCCCAGCTTCTTTCACTGCAGCAGATCACCTAGGTCCTAGGCCAAGAGACATGGAAAAAGCAGCGCACTCAAAAAGAAGCTACTGTCCCCGAAGCTAAAGAAACTCCCCAGGCTCAGAATGGGTGGTTGATGGGAAACTTGCAACACCCCAAACCTCTCCTCTCGCAGCTGGGTTCCCACGGATCTCCCAGCTGCAGCGCCAGGGCTGGTCTCACCGGAACGAAATACCTCCCAAGCCTTGACTCTGCTGTCTCTCTCTCTTCATTCTACCTTGGCTGGAAGCCATCAAAGCGCCTGGGATTTTAACCCAGTGCTCATGTCTTTAGAACCCGTAGCTAGAAACCAACTAGCTTTCAATGGTCAGAACGCTCCACACTCCAATCAGAGACCACCGTCCTAGGAAGCGGCTGAAATCATGGCACATGAGCAACTCCTTCGGCAAATGAGACAAAGAGGCAGCTGCCCTCTTCCAGCTCCCAGTCCTGGTCAACACAGGCCAGGAGGATGGTCACTTTCTTCCAAAGGTAGCAGAGAAACGAGCCCCTAAGAACCACAGGTTTAAGCCTAGTGGGAAGCACGCAGGCTGTGGCGCAGAAGCCAGAGCAGTTTTGAACATCATGGCACTGAGTACCGAGAGGAGACAGCATGGCATCATGTGCAGGAAAGAACTAGATATTCTGAGAACAAAAACAGATATTTTCCCAGAAATGGAGGTTCCTGCCTAAACGTGAGCGAGGCTTGGTAAAATACGTGACATGAGAAACAGTAACACTTTATCTAATGTTAGCCAGCAAAAACGTGCTCCTCAACCTTGCTCTCCAAGCCAGCTCTCTGAGGGACAAAGGGAGTGGCCGAGGGCACACACGGGCCAGGGCCAGCTCAGGCTTATCTTCTGTATAAGCCAGAAGGATGCGCTTTCTTAAAAAAGATTTCTTAATCTAAAACCAGCTGTTGCCTGCTGTAGGCCAGGACATGACATTTTAATCTACATTATTGTTCCGCTTCTGAAACCAGGCCCAATGGCATCCAAGGGCAGATGATCCCGACCAGGGCTCCTGGGTGAGGCTGGTTGGTGAGCAGCTCAGGAATCTGCTCACGAGGGGGTGAAGCTAGCCCTGCTGAGTCCCTGAATCATGGTCACGGCCTGTTTGACTGTCCCTGAAGGTCCCTGGGACCTGGACAACCCGTCTGCTTGCAGGAGAGAGCCTTTGAGGTTAGTTTCAAGTGCCTGGGATATAATAGTCATTCTGTCATATACATTCTTTCATGCTGTGTTGTTAAGATCTAACCCCCCGTATTTAGTGAGGTGCTTTAAATGAAGGTTTAACATCCTTAGGAGGCCAATGACTCCTAAGAAGGTGATAAAATCACACTAACACAGCTCGCAGGGGCTCCTATGATCTCAGATTAAAGAGTTCCTCATCCAAAACCAAAGGGCTAACAAGGTTTGGAAAAAAAGAAAAAAAAAATGTACCCATTGGGATAGAGCACTGGATGATAAACCAGTCACTAAGGCACTGCATTCGGTGAAGAAGAAAAGGGCAGACACTTGGAGCGGGATGAGAGCAGAAAACAGGGAGATGGAGCAGACATAACGTCAGCAGTTCTCGCCTTTAGCAGGAACGTGGTGTGATGCTCTTCTCCTCTACCTGCCCCAAATTTGAAGGTATTCACTGTCTGTGTCAGCTCCTAGTATCTGGATGACATTCCCAGATACTAGGTTTTAATCATGCCATTCCCCAGTATTAGGAATATGAGACCAGAATGCCTTCCACTGTGCCCTACTGACTGGTATGTAATGAATCAAAAATATGCATTAAGCAAGCCCCAGCTGCAGCATCTGCCTCGCTCATCCATCCCACCTGTGAGATTTTTTCTCCTTCACATGAAGACGAAGCTCTCTTGACTTCCACTTCCAATTTACTTCTCCTGAAATTTCTCCGATCTCTCAAAAGTCTGTCTGAACACACGTGGAGTTGTGAAAACAACCAGCTTACACACGACAGTGTAATCACCACTCACCTCTGTGTCACTCAACAGAACAGTGGGATGTATTAGTGACTTCGACTGGCACACAACTAGGCTTCAGTAATTATATCCATATTCCAGGCAAATTGTTATATATTTTGTGTTCTGGGGACATATGTTATGGCTAAAGCCCAAACTGTGGCTAATCTTAATATTAGAGCCAGATAAATCTGTTTCGAATCCATAACATCTAACATTTGCCAGAGTAGATTTGTTCATCAACTGGGCTTAAAGAGGTATAATTCACACATGTGCAGTATTACTAAATGCTGAAACTTAATGATTTAAATATACCAGCAACCATTGCAAAGCAGTTGTTACAGCAGCATTTAACATTAGCCAGAACCTCCCTGGCTAATGTTACATTTATACCAAGAGAATGAGGGAAAGTTTGGCATCCCCTAGGGGTGGGGTTACAACTCCCTCAACTTTCACAGTATGGTACTTGCTAGAGCAACTCAGTGCATGGCTATTTGAGGCCCGTTTTTCCCTGGGAAAACCTCCGATAGACTGATTGGACCTAATAAAGGAAAAAGCAAAACCTTTGGAGTTTTGGGAGACATCTTCTCTTACAATGTTTAGTTTGGGATCTTGCTCTGCTTGGTACACATGGCACCACATGTTCCTCCTGGCTGTGTCTTCCCAGACTTGGATGTAGATTGGAGTTAGGAGAAGACGCAGTTAAATACACTAAAGAAGAAAGTTACTCCTTAGACCACCCATAATCAATGCATTAGACATAGTTGAAAAAGGAATAAAAATTATTTTAATCACATTAAAAAACCAAATCAAACAGGAATAGTTATGGAGCTTATAAGCTCCCTGCTTGGCAGCCGATGCTCTTCTGTGCGAGAGTCCAGTGCCCCAGGTCCAGGCACACAGGATGGGGCAAGAGTAGGTCTGCAGCTGTGAGTACGTGAAAGAGTTTATTCCTGTATCTTATTCATTATTGTATTATTTTCCAGGAGAACAACTGTAAACCGACTTTTGCCCACCCTGAGCTGGACCTGAACCTGGGGTGCCACCAAAGCTTCCGTTCGGCATCTTCAAAGAAAAGCCACAGAGACCACGGAAACACCAGAACAGGGGACGCCCTCAACGCTCAGGCGTCCTCCTGAGCTTCCCGTTCTTGAGAAAGTAGGTCAGTATGGCAATCTTCCACTCAGATGTCCCCCTGCTGGCAGAAGTGCTGGGGGCATGTTCTCTCCCTTGGTCCAAACTTATGTTCAGGCCCCGCCTGTGGCGGGTTTATAAGCTGCCGATGTTGGGGAAGCTCTTCAGCTTCTCAGGAAAGTCGTCTTTGTACAGGACAGGGTCGGCTCGGTGCTCCACCACCTTGAGAGGCATCGTCCCAAAGACAGAAGCAAACTTGTTGATGCACTCAGACCTGTGGGATTCAGGGAGCAGGAGGGCAGGTGAGCAGATGAGAGGGACGGGGGTGGGGGGAAAAGAGAAAATGTTCAAGAGGTTGAGAGATGATAGCAAAATACATAATATTCAGTGTCAACAGAAAAATCCAAGGAGGCCCAGCCTGCTCCCAGGTTCGAAAAGGTTGGAGGGGTGTGGACACAGAGTTATGTGGCGGAGCTCTGACTATGAGCTCAGTGGGAGACAGTGAACAGGGAGTGCTGTCTGGAGGGCCTGCAGAGGTCAGAATATCTCTTCCCCTCCCCCTAAATTCCAGTCATTCTTCCAGATCAGCACAAGCAAGCCTCAAACCAAGGTGGATTAGCTGCCAACAATCTTAACCCCGTCTCTGCCAGCTAAAGAGAAGGTAACCAGCGGAGAGGAAAAAGCCACTCGGATCTGAGCTCACTGAAGCTTAACAGGCAGAGAGGAGTACCCTACCACGGAGCAACGGAAGGCAAAAGAAGTTAATGGGGATGGAGAACCTCAATTTCAAACAATAAACACTTTACCCATTCAACCAACACTGGCTAAAGGCTCTAAGTGGGAATTACCGGTCACCTTCCACAAGCTGAAGTTCAGCTTCCAGGATGGGAGCCATAGCCATGTGAGAACCAACAGCCCACAGACCACTGGGGGACAGGACAGCCCAGCCTTGGAGCAGGGGAGCGTCCGTTTCCTCATTACCCCAACCCCCAGCCTGGCGAGCAGCCTCCTAGGAGGTGAGCGGGTCAGGCAGGCTGGCAGGAAAGGGTTCTGGCCCATCAGGCCAACTGAGTGTGACAGCTGGCAATGAGGACACTTCAGCCTCAGACCAGGGGGAATAACGAGCCTGTAAAAACTGCTTTTGAAGTTGAGGGGAGCTCCAAGATGGATTTCAGAAAGGTCAACATACTCTCTCTTCAGTTAGGTCCATGGCACCAGAGAGCTACAACAAGAACAAACTAATCAGAGGCAGAACCATTACAAAGGGCTAAATTTCAAGACACAGACCAGGAGTCTCTTCTGTCCTCAGAGGTACTGTCAGATTTATTTCAAAGTATTTTAATCAATAAGTTTTTATTGGAGCACTCTGAGCTTTAGGAAGAAATCAATTAATAAAGAAGCCAGTCATCATCAATTCTTTTCACTTGGTCATTATGTTTCTAGAAAAATGTGTTACTACTACATTTGAGCTTTTCTAACTAATAATATCACTATGTCCACCAGCACCACAAATCAACATTGGGAAGGCTGGGACACAGAGAAGCTCAGTAACATGTACAAACGTCAAGTAACTAGTAAGAGGCAGGGCCAAACCCAGGCATTCTGGCTCATAAGACTAAAGTCTCAATGATGAGATGACACAAATTTATTTATTAACACAATTCTGGGGCGCAAGGGGGAGGAGCTGGAAATGAGTAGCTGTTGAGCAGTTATTACACGCCATGTCATTTACACCCATGATCTTCCTTCTTCCTTAAAGCAGCTCCCTCTATGCACCTCAGGGCAGGGTTATCATAACTTGGTGATGCAGGTGAGACATCAGGACACAGTGCTTAAATAACGTGGCCACGGACCAAAAGCTGGAGTGGTGGGCGGTTTCAAACCAGGCTTGCACCGGCAACAGAGCCTTCCTCTTCATCATCCTCAACCACGACTCGCAAGGATAGAAGCTTCCCTTCTGCTGGCAGTCTTTTGAAACTCAGGAGGCAGTTATAGATTCCAAATGGAGGAGTGATTGGGCAAAAAGACTGAGCATTTTCAACAAAATGGTATGAAGCGAGCATTGGACAACAGTTTCCCTCTCAGACAACGGGGTCAAGGCAGTGAAAAGTCAAATCTCTGCCAGGCCTTCCTTTTGACAGTTCTGCCTGTAATTATGTAGCGACTCTGCAGTTTCAGTTATTACGCCTGTAGACTCTGGCTAGCAAAGGATAGGTACCAGCGAGCATGTACTAAGAAAGAATCATGGCTCAGACAGAGAAGAGAGGCCCCACGGCCCCCTGAGGAACGCTGAGGACAATGTCTCCTCTGTAACTAGATCTGCCAACAGGGCCGGGCCACTGGCAAAAGGCCACAGGCTCCGTCCAGCCTGACTTGCTGACAGCTGCCCCTGGCTAACTCAGGCACCGTGCGTGCTTCTCTCTCTCCACCCAGCCTGCACTGGAGAAGTGGCAGGCCACTCTGAATGGTAAAGGTCCTGAAGTCTCCGCCAGGTACTGACAATGCTTCCCCCTTTCTTTTCAGGGAATCTGGTTTGGGGAACAGGTTGGGGTGAACGAGGAGCTTGGCTTACTGCTGGTCGCCCCCGAGTTGTTCTGTTAGTCCAGCTACCCCATCAGTAACTGTCCCCCTGGGTCAATTTTCTAATTGAGTATAAACAGGCTAAGAACTGCCAATGTCTACCTCTAAAGTCTGGAAGCATTGGGGGGGAGAAGAAGGTGGGGGAGGGAAGAAAGAAAGGACTAATGCTGGGGAAATTGGGAAGGAACGGAATCTGCCAGGCACTGTGCTACAAGTTTTCTTGAATTATTATTTTACTTAACAGCATGTAATATGGTGTTTGGTACAAAGATGCTCAATAAATATTTGTTGAACCAATGAATGGACACTGTAATTTGATAGATATTAATACCCCATTTTAGGAGATGAAAAGATTGATGTTCAGATAAGGTAAGTCATTTTCCTTAAATCAGACAGCTAACAAGCGACAAACTCATAATCTGAACAAAGATTGGCCTGAATCAAAATATTATGTTCTTTTCCTAAAATCAACACTGTCTGTCTGCCATACTGCCTTGACCTCTTTGAAGCTATTGGCCAAAATGAGCAGCTTAAAGAAGTAACAGCAGATCCTGGAAGAAATGGATGCTGGGTAGTGCAACTGAGATTTCTGATTCTAGAACCCAAAAACATAATAAGCTTATTGAACCACAAAACCCAACACAAGGTTCATAACTTTGGAAGTGGTTCACCCCTTTCACTATTTTGTGCAAAATATGATTCTGCAAAGGGGACGATTACAAAAAAGAAAACACCAATGAACACTCTACAGTCCACCTCTTGGTTTACACAAGTGGCTTAAATCATGTCTTCTCTCATTATCTAAGGACCTTATTTAATAATTCAGTGATCCAGTCTTTAATCCAAATAGTTTTACTCCCAGTTTCTAACTGATTTCAAGATTGATTCCCTATCAAATTTCTCATAAGGGTAATCTAGATTCCTTAACTCTACTTCTCACCTCAGAAGCACAGCCTGTGCCTTGGGGCACCACCACTCTATGGCATTATTTTTTTCAAAGTCACCAATGACCATTCATTTCAAAGGCCTTTTCCTGGTTTGCATGGTCCCTGCTCCTCTCCTGCTTCTGAGCACTGCAGATCCCGTTCTCTTCTGGCCTCTCCAGTGGTCACTTCTCTGTTTTCGGTTATTCTTTCTTTCTCCAAAATGTTAGAATTTCTCAACATTCTGCTCTTGGCCCTTCTTCAGTCAATTGCCATCTCTGGGCAGATCCCTTTAATCTTCTAGAATTCTAGCTCCACATTCCCAACTGCCTGCCCCATATCTATACCTGCACATGGAGAGGACAAAAGCCTCCAAATCACACACCTTACTGCTCTTCAACTTCAGCATGATTAAGATCTCTTCCTGTCCTTATGAGTATACAGTTAATGGTACGACTATTCACCCCATCCTCTCTGCGAATTAGTGTCTCCTCCTAACTATATTATTTACACTGTTAAGGTAGTACCACTCTTCCGGACTGGAAATCTAGAAGTTATCTTTCTCAACTCCTTCTCCATAACCTTCTCACACCTACCCAGCTAGAAATAAGTTCTAGTATATCTTTCTTTGGTGGGGGGGGGAGAGGGGGAGATCACTTGCAATTTAATTCCTTCTTTCCTTTCCACACACAATTTAGTTCAAGCTTTCTGACTGTTCTTTCTTCAATCTCTTTATTTCATTCCATCCTATGCACTATTTCCAAATTAATCTCAAAACAATACTTAGATCAAGCTACTACCCTGTAAAGAACAGACTGGGAATATAGAAGAAAAAAATAAAGCTACCCCTCTGTTCAAAAACCTTCTATGGCTTACCAGAGCCTGAAGAAAAATGCCCAGGGATTCAAGGCAGTTTGGAACTAACAGGCCAGAACTCGATGCTCTAGCCAAAGTGAACTTCTTCCCCCTAGGTTAACTCATAATTTTATTTCTCCTACAATTTGATTCGGGATCCAAATGAGTTCCATATGTTGCAATTGCCTGATTTAGTCTGTAGGTTACCCCTCCTCTTATTTTCCTCCAGCTATTCATTTGTTGAAGAAACTGAGTTGTTCACCCCATCCCCACATGTGGACTTTGCTGACTGCATCCCATGGTGTCCTTTGATATGTTCATCTGTCCCTTGTATGTCTTGTCTACCAGTAGCTAAATTTAGAGTCTTCATCAGGTTTGATTTGGGGATAAGAATACTTCAAAGGTGAACATTTATCAAGGAGGCACAAAATGTGTAATCGTCATGTCTCTTTTTGTTGTTAGCAGCCATTGACAATCACTGCCTAGATCTAATACTTTTCCATAGTTTGTATAATAGTGATATTCTAATCCTATCTTTTTTCCCTAATTTACTGGACTTCTATAAAGACTAAAATCCCCTCATGAACTATTTGAATGCCAGTAGTACAGCGGACATTAGAATGAACTTAACTGCTGGCCAAATACACCTTGAACTTGCTGATGGACACTTTTGATTACACAGTTCCCCTGCCTGGGATCCTCTCTTGCCCAGCGCGTCATTAGTTGGGATCCTAGTGGTCTTTGAAAACTCACTTCAAATGCCATCTCTTTTACAAAAATATTCCTAATAACTGACCTAGCAAGATGTCACTTCTCTTTCCTCTGATCAATTATAACTTTAAAAATATATATATTTTATTGATTTTCTTACAGAGAGGAAGGGAGAGAGATAGAGAGCTAGAAACATCGATGAGAGAGAAACATCGACCAGCTGCCTCTTGCACACCCCCTACTGGGGATGTGCCCGCAACCAACGTACATGCCCTTGACCGGAATCGAACCTGGGACTTTTCAGTCCACAGACCGACGCTCTACCGCTGAGCCAAACTGGTTTCGGCTATAACTTTTTAAAAAAATCTCAGCTGAGGATATTTTTTCCATTGATTTTTGGAGAGAGTGGAAGGGACGGAGGGTTGGAGAGAGAAAGAGTGAGAGAAAAGCATCGATTTGAAACAGACACATCGTTTGCCTCCTGCACACATCCCAACTGGGGACTGAACCTGTAACCTTCTGTGGGCCAATACTCTAACAACTGAACATACAGGCCAGGGCTCAATTATAACATTCTGAGCTTTCCTTATGTTACTTATCACATATAGTTTTGGATTAACTTTGATGTGTGTGTGTGTGTGTGTGTGTGTGTGTGTGTGTGCGCGCGCGCATGCATTTGTTTTTAATTGGAAAGTCTGATATAATTTGATTCAAGCCTAACAATATCTGGGAAGTTGCCTTTTCTATTTTCAAAAGCTTTTTTCTTTTTTTTTTCTTTTCTTTTTTTTTATTGATTTTCTATAGAGAGAAAGTGAGAGGGATAGAGAGTTAGAAACATCGATGAGAGAGAGAGTTTCATCAATCAGCTGCCTCTTGCACACCTCCTACTGGAGATGTGCCCACTACCAAGGTACATGCCCTTGGCTGGAATCGAACCCGGGACCTTTCAGTCCGCAGGCCAATACTCTATCCATTGAGCCAAACCAGTTTCGGCCAAAAGCTTTTTTCTGATTGGAAGCCTCCACATACATCTCCCTTATTTACTTTCTTCGATATATAGTAATAAGTAAATCTCTCTCACTGCATTTTAGGTTGCTTTACATTTGTAATGATCAATAATTTCTCATTACATTTTAAGTTGCTTTGCATTTGCAATGATCTCAGTGGTGCTAGAGGCAAGATGTTTAACCTTAGCACATGTTTCAAGGCCATTATCAGATCAACTTTTCACCCTACAATTCATTTCTTGGACCATATAATCCCACCACTTTAACTTGACCCAATCAACAACCAATTGCTTAATGCTGTAAGTTCTCCCAGACATAGAGGATAGTGGTAGGTTTAAAGGGACAATTTCATATACTCCAAATAGAACTATAATTTGGGTCTCTCTTCCAAATGAGCTATGACAGTTAATGTCATTGCCTTTGACAGTGTAATATTTATACCAGTGATAGATATTTCCAAAATCACAATAACGAATTAACCGTTGATAAAAGTCCTATCATTTGGGTAAGATATTTATATATGAAAGAGATTATTTAGAGAGTAAGAGTAAGGAGTAAAGAATTATATAAAAGAATCCAGTCCAACTGAAAAGAAACATTGGTCTGTACAGAAAAATCCTCCAGGCTTGAAGGATGCTAATATGGCTGACAGATTTCAGAAATGAATGCTGAAAGCAGAAGCATGAGATCTGTGGAAACTTGAACTAGATATCTCATTCTACCACTGTAGCTTCTCCGAGTGAATTTTGGTCCCTTGACAACAGTGCTACTGGATGCCAGAGCCTGCTGTCTTACATAAGGAGCTGCCTTTTGGAAGAACTGGATTTGATTCAAGAGATTTGAAGATTGAGTACCTTTGGGTGACAAGTGAGAACTACTAGGTTTACTGTAAGATTATAACGATCTCCACTCCTTTTAGATGCACCTACAAGGCCTGGTGTTACACTCTGCACAAAGGTGTGCTTGTTGAGGAGCTGACTGCATCGAACTACAGTGGTATTTCATAGCTGCCCTCTCCCTCTCTCTGTAATGTAGAGCTATGCTTTCAGTTCTGTTCCTGGTAGGTGTTTTAGTAGTGTCAGCACAGGTAATGTGTCCCTGGTGGGTTTGGTTTAATTCTTTCTGATCAAACTTCTACTGTAACATGGAGATATTACCCTGAGAAACAATCCAGTATTTCCTTAAAATTAACTACCTTTCACTCAAATGACTGTGGATGGTTAACTGCTTAGTCTAAATGGAGAATCTGGCTTCTGGAGCTTAAGGCCAGCAATATTTTTAAGACCCTTCCAGCCATTACAAATTGAGTAAGTAGCATTCCAAATTAATTCTTTGGGTGACCTGGGCTTGAACTAACCCAACTCCCACAGTGCAAAAGGAGGTGACTATGGCTACCAGCTGCTGTCCTTACATTTCCAAAAAAGTCCCATAAACAGGCCCAAGGCAGGAAATGGGGATCAGAAGCCAGGGCAGACTTTTGGTAAGCGGCTCACTCACCTCTCCACCATGTGCGTCTGGTCCAGAGAAAGCCCATCAATGGCTGTGCACTCTGGACACTTGAATTTCTTCCGCGGTGTTACCTACCGGAGGAACACAAAAATACCTGGCTGTCAGCGCCCAGGACAATAAAACCATGCTTGTGACACCACTCTGCATGCTTCTGTTCTGTAAGTGGAGATGCCTGTTCCCTTCATACACACACGCACACACCTCACCATTTCTCCATTCAATTCTGTCTGGCTCGGCCAACAGCAAACTCACAAGGGCCCAATAAAAAAGGCTTGGAGGGCTTTTGCCTTCTGTAGCTGGAAAGAAGTGGTGATGACAAGCTCCTTAATTCCTGTTTAATGACTGTTTTCTCACTGCCAAGGTCCTTGTATAAACACCATTTGTTCTTGCAGCCATAAGGGCGATGAAATACAGCTTCCCATAACTTTCACCGTAACCTTAGTTCCAACAGGCGCTCTTTCTCCTTCTTCCAGCTCATGGCAAATCCTATGAGCTGCATAAGGCTCTTGAAGATGCCAGGTTATTTTGCAATTCCCTTGAATCAGAAAAAAACAATCCAATGGTCCCTCAGCCTCTGAATCCTTTTCTCTGATTCTGCCTTATCCTCCCAAACCTTAAACTTCCAGTACTCTTCTAGCACACTCAGGGGAAGCTGCTAGCCTAACCTAGTGAAGATAAGTAAACAGCAGAGGGACTGAGGGGGGAATTAGATGACTAACTAGGCCAGGGTAAGAAGCATAGGAATTACTGCCCAGAGTAAGCGGGCACAGCCAAAACAGCTTGTCAAAAAGCAGATTTGGAGATAAACTTCCTTTAAAATGTATTCACAATTCACATTCTTTCACTTTCCTTGTAGTGAGCTGTCCATGGAGTTAGTTAGAGAGCCGGGGAGAGGATGAGGATTGCAGGGTTAGAGAGCCAGTAGTGGCTCTTCCTCTTTCCTTAGTCACCGTGGTTTAATTTGGCTTCTTTCATTAACTAACAGTATGAGGAGCCACCCGGGAAGTCACACTATATTTCCAACATAAGCTTCCAGTATTGGAAGATTCCAGGATCAGGAATCTGGTCTAGAAGTAATGCCCATTGTCACACACAGAATTCTGACCCAGAATGAAAGAAGGTTGAGATGACTCTACTTATATAAAAAAGTGCGTGCTCTCTACATATCCAGAGATCTAGTTTGAGAAAAATCTGCATTTTAAGAATAGATATCAATCCCCAGGGGATCGTTAATATATTATAGGAAAGGTAATTTTTAATATCCAGTAATCAATATTTACAAACATCATTTAAGGCCAACTATAGTTGTAATCTTTTCAATGTCTATATAAGAAGAAAAAAAAGATTGGCTACCTTAAGAAAGACGTAAACTGTATCTTTTACCTAACAGAGTTAGTTTTCAAACCAGCTTTGAGATTAAAATTATTTTTTAAAAAAAAAACATGATTTGTAGATGGACCATCACAGCCTTCACCTCTGATACTGATGTTTAAAACCAGTAACCAAAGAAATTGCATAAAAATAAGGAAATATGTTTAAATTACCAAAGCCTACCCTTCAACTTTACAATGTGACAATGTTAATCATAGAATCTTAGAAAGTGAAAAGACAGCTCCAAGTTCATCTGGTCTAGTACTTCATCTCATCTAGTTATGAGAACTTCTCAGGCTCAGGGAAAAGAGACTTGCTCAAGATCACAGAGCAAGTCAGCAGGAGAGCTGGACCAGGATGCCTCCTACCTTGATGACAGCTTTCCCCGTGACATTAGCCACCAGGAAATTCATGGCAATGTCTTCACAGTTCATATGAGCGTCCACCCAGTTCTTGATGTCCCCAGGCATTTTGTAAGTATACAGGTAATTAAAATACTATCAGGTAAAGAAACAAAAAGAAGAAACATTCAAACAGCAGTTCCCTCCGGCTGATACATGAAATAAAACTCTGTCAAGGCATGGGGACAGCTTTCTCTCAAGGCTGTAGCCACAGAAAGGGCAAAGGAAATAATAGAATGCTGTTGGCCAAGTGACCAAAAGCTTTAATATTGTCATTCCTTTCAAAATCACCCATTGAGAGCAGAGGAGAGGTACAATGTGACGCCCTTGCAAGAAGCAGGCCCAAGGGACTGATTAAGTGTTTTTCAAATGTTGTTCAGGGACACACTATAGATTCATCTTTACTAAATCCTTCCCTGGAGTCACAATGCCCAATCATGTTTTCTCTGTTCTTTCCATAGATTGCAAAGGGAAACAGAGATAAATTGAAGTGGATTGACATTGCAAAGGTACATCCTTTTTACAGTAAAACAAAAATGAGGCAATTCTGGAACCACCATAACCTACCTACATATGAAATAGTATAGACATTCACAGCCAAAAATAAAAAAAAGTATATACAATCTACTGACACAAACCTCCCAAATTATAAACCTTATTTATTATCTGTTACTAAGAACAAAAAAAATTTCTGGACCTAGAGTCCTGAAAACTACGAGGGCCAAACTACTATTGCTAGCGCCAAGATAGCAATAGCAATCAGTGCCGACACGGCTGAGCTACCTAAACTGCGCCGGGCCTCACGCCACTGCTGATAGTGGACAGTTATTACCATTTAATTAAGCCATACACTCCCAGGGAACACTCTATTACCAAACTGAATATTCTGAAGTCCAATGCATAGCCTTCAATCACTCCCTAATTAAGAGTCAAAAACATGAAGTGATAATTCTTAGACAAGGGAAATACAAAAGGCTCATAAGTAAACAAAAGGAATTTCAATCTCACTAGCAATCAAATCAGTTAAAACACTGAGATCCACTTTCATGGGCATTTCATGTAAGGGTAATGGTAAGAACATTCACAAAATGTTCAGTACCTATGATAGAATCTATTATAATGCTCAAAAGTATAAACAGTTATGAAAATGGATATTAATCATTAAACATTAAATATTAAGCATTATTTAAAATAGTAAAAAAGTGAGAACCATCTAAATAAGCAATGAAAGAATAATACACATAATTTATGGAATACCAATTTAATGGTATATTAGCAATTCTATTCAGAAAAAAATTATGGAGGAATGTTAATGACATGAGAAAATGCTCACAATATAATACATGAAAATAGCAGAATAATACAAATATTTGTAACAGTATGTGTGTATATATGCATAAGTAAGTAAATGAAAGACAAAGTGGGAAGACATCTAAACAACAATGGTTCTAAGTGATATACAAGAGACTTTTCTTACATAATAAAATTTGTTCTGAGTTTTCCATATTTTCTATAATAAGCATTTATTATTTCACAAGTAGAAAAATAATAACTTTATTCTTTAAAAAGTATCATACAACATGGCCTTTCTAAGATCTGAATAGAACATTATTCATAAACTCAGCAAAAATTAAGTTGGGCCAAATAAAAAGAGTATCATACTCTGTCAACTCAGACCCACCTGCCCCTAGCTTGCCCCACACCTTACCTTGTGATAAAAAGCTGCTCCTGTAAGCACCATGGACACCTCATTGGTCCACTCGGACTCATACTTCCACTTACTCATCTCATGGTCCCAGAGATGCAGACGACCTGGGTAACCCACCAACCGGTCAGGAAACTCCCGCCAGACCTAAGGACAGAAGCACATCAACAGTCCATTCTCAGTTCTCACACAACGAAGCTCAGAGAGTGAGTGTGAAGTTATCCAAACAGGTATCAATCAACCAACAGACTCTGCAGGTTCACGTTTTCACAAACTAAAGTCAGAATGCGCTTCTGAAGATGTTTATTTGAACAGGTGCTAGCTCTTCTGCCAGTATTCAAAGAGAGATGTTGATTCTGATTTCTTCCAACACTTCCTGTGCTTGCTTAGAAATTTCAAATAATGTAGAGAAATAACTTACTGAATTGAGTCAAGATAGGTAATCTCTTAACATATGATTAATGAAATAGGTTCTGTCCTTAAAGAACATACAAATGAAGACTAAATGGAACCCTATAACTAACTCACCTGTTCTGATTTATATTAAATTTTGGCAATTGTGAAAACTTGCAAAGTCTCTGTTTCTAAAAAAATTTAAATTAAAACCAAAAACGATTTCTCCGGCACACAGCCAACCATTCTTATGATCTTTTGGAAGCCGTAATTTAAGTATAGACAAATAATCTGTGACATATTGAAAACAAAAAAAAAATTTAGGTACAGTTTTGTTAAAAAGAATTTGGTAATTTGGGGTAAGGTACTTCCAATACCTCTCCCCATGTATTTCTGAGTAATTTAGTTTGACCATTAATGAGTATTGACAATTTGCCCGCTGTTCACGAGGCGCTGCTTTTCAGCATCAGGATTCGTTGCCTTTTACTAAACCTCTAGCCAGCAGAGTTCGTTAGGACCCAGCCCTGATCTTCCTTAAACTCTCTAAGTAATCTCATCTAGCTTCAAACACTTTAAAAAAGACCTATAATCTAGTGTCTTATAAATTTGTTTGACCCTGAAAGTTCCTGAGATAACCAACTATTTAATATCTTCAGCTGAATAAACAATAGACATCTCAAACTTAACATGTCCAAAGCATTGCTCTTGACTCCATATCTTCAGATAAGCCATTCTCTAAATTGTCTCCATCTAAATAAACCATCTACCCAACTGTCCAAGCCCAAAAGCTAGAAGTCAGCCTTTATTCCTTTCTTTTCTTTCTCCACTTTTCCCATACCCAACCCATTACAAGTCCTCTGGTTCTACTGACTACCTGTTACAAGTCCTCTGGTTCTACCAGCTGTACTACCTCTCTCTACTTCAAACCACCCTCATCTCTCACCTAGACTGTCACAGGCTTCTTCTTTATCTCCTTGCTTCTACTCTTGCTCTTCCAAATTATTAACGAGCATTCCTAAAAAGACCATTCCTAAAACACTATTAGGGTATGCTATACAGGATAATTCAACCAATGGGCTCTACTATAATTTTAAAATTTATATTATTTTCATTATATTTTTGTCCACATACAGGGCAGGCAAAAATAGGTTTACAGTTGTTCATATGGAAAATACAATAATAAATAACCCTACCTAATAAAAGAGTAATATGCAAATTAACCATCACTTTGCTCCACAAGCCAATCAGAGCACATATGCAAATTAACCCCAACCAATGGCTGCAGCCACAGAGGCTTGGGTTTCTCTGGCAACAAATGAAGCCAAGCTTTCTGCCTGCCCTAGCAGGCCTAAACCTCCACTCCAGACTACAAAGTTTCAATTGTAGAAGGTAAATAAATTCCAGATACCATGGCCTCCATTTGGGTCACTGAGGGGTGTGGCCAGCCTGCAAACCACCACAGGCCCCTCACTCAGGCCGCCCATTGCCCCAAGGGAATCCCCACCCTGATCCAGGACACCCTTCAAGGCAAACCAGCTGACTCCCACCCATGCACCAGGCCTCTATCCTATCTAATAATAGAGTAATATGCAGATTGACCATCACTCCAACACAAAAGATGGCTGCCCCCATGTGGTCAAAGATCCTGCCCCCATGTGGGCACAAGATGGCCACCACAAGATGACCAGCAGGGGAGGGCAGTTGGGAGGCACCAGGCCTGCAAGAGAGGGCAATTGAAGGCAATCAATTCTGCAAACAGGCTGGCAGTGGAGCAATTAGACATCAATCAGGCTGTCATGGGAGTGGTTAGGGGGTGATCAGGCTGGCAGGCAGAAGCAGTTAAGGGCAATCAGGAAAGAAGGCAGGCAGGAGAGCAGTTGGGAGTCAGCAGTCCTGGATTATGAGAGGGATGTCCGACTGCCCATCTAGGCCTGATCCGGATTGGGCCTTAAATGGGCAGTTGGACATCCCTCAAGGAGTCCCAGATTGGAGAGAGTGCAGGCTGGGCTGAGGGTGCACAAATTTCATGCACCGGGCCTCTAGTAATACAATAAACTGTTTTGCATACTCACAACTGTAAACCTAGTTTTGCCCACCCTGTATATATGTCCTTTAGTCATACTGCTATAGCAACTGGAGGCTTCCCCAACCCCCAACTGCCCCCGAGCCCAAGGAGGATGCTCCTTGCTTTCCCAAGGACAGAGCCAGTGAGCTAGCACTTTTGTTTTCTGATTTGCTAGGACTGTTGTAACACAGTAACACAAACCAGTGGCTGAAAATAACAGGAACCTACAAGTCCAAGATCAAGGTGTTGGCAAGGCCATGCTCCCTCTGAAACCAGTGGAGGAAGGATCCTTCCCTGACTCCTCTGAGTTCTGATGGCTGGTTGTCAGTCTTTGGCATTCCTTGGTTTGTACATGCATCCCTCCAAACCTGTCTTCACATGTCCTTCTTCCTTCCATGTCTCTGTGGCCAATTCTCTTTTTATAAGGATACCAGTCAAATGAATTAGGGCCCACCCAATGACTCATTTTAACTGGATTACCTCTGAAAAGACCCTATCCTATATAATGAAAGCTAATATGCAAATCAATCAAATGGCTGAACAACCGGTCGCTATGACATGCACTGACCTCCAGGGGGCAGATGCTCAATGCAGGAGCTGCCCCCGGTTGGTCAGTGTGCTCCCACAGGGGGAGTACTGCTCAGTCAGAAGCCAGGCTCAGGCTGGCGAGCACAGCAGTGATGGTACAAGCCTCTCCCACTTCTGCAGCAGCACTAAGGACCCATCAGGGGTCCCAGACTGCAAGAGGGCGCAGGCCTGGCTGAAGGAAACACCCCTGGCTCACAGTGCATGAATATCATGCACCGGGCCTCTAGTTTCCAAATAAGATTACTAAGAGTTAGAATTTCAACATCTCTTTTTTTTTTTTTTTTTTTTTTTTTTTTGAGGGACACACTTCAACCCATAACATCCCCTGAAAATCTTTAAATGTTTCACCCCCAAAACAAAACAAAAAATGGCTTTCTGTTGACTAAGAACATCCAAACTCTCCAGCCTATTCTAAAGGGTCTACCACTCTTCAACCACTTCTCTCACCACCTCTCAGACTGCAGCGTGGCTTTCTGTTCCTTACCCACACCTGGACCTTGTGCTTGCTATTCCTTCTGACTGCAATGTTCTCTCAGCTCTTCAAAAGGCTGACTTCCTGCTCACCATCAGGTCTCTGCTTAGGTACCTCCTCTGAAAGGCCTTTTCACACCTTCCTAAGGAAAACACCGCCCCCCAACCAGCCAGTCTTCATCACATCACCTCAACATCAGGATTCCTTGCTTTTCTTCACCAACCTATCGTTTTTCAAAATGGTTCTGATTATTTACTGTTTCTTATTTATTATCTATTTTCCTCCCACAGAATTTAAAGTCTGTGAGGACAGAGAATTTGTCTTATTCACTGCGGCGTCTGAAGCACAAAGAAAAGGGCCGGCACACGCCAGCATTCCATGCACACGTGTTGAATGCATGAACGGGCAGAATCTCAGCAGGCAATTGCTGAGAATGAAAGAACGGAACCAGAGAGCCTGTCTCTGTTCTTCACAGCCAGAGCCATTATATTCCTTAATTCAGAAAGGATGTCTGCAACAGTATTGATCAACCGGCACCATTAATAATAATGTGATATCCTTTGTGTGTGAAGATCACAGTAATAATTCACCATCACAAAAGCACATGGTTCAAATTGCTTTTCCAGAAGCGGGTAAAGGGATATTTGCTGAGTCATTACACTCTCTTGCCCGGTCCTCCTTGTGATCATCTACTACATGCTTTTTATGTGAGGTCTGCCCTGGGTCTTGAGCGTGGTCTGGAGCTGTGAAAAGAACTTTCCTTTGTGTGAAACCAGCTCACCTAACAGGCACTCAAACCCACAACCTTGGCCTCGTTAACACCATGTTGTAACCAACAGAGTTAACTGGCCACAGGCATCATCCTAATAGCTGCAGACAAACGAATCCATGTCAAACATTTCCTCAGCTGTGTAATGCTGCTGCTGCTACTCTGGGGTTTGTTTTTCAGCAGATTAAAATAATATGATACTATTACAGTTTTATAGAGCCCAGAGCAACAACATAGTACATGAGCCGTAACTTCGGGTTGGTTTGTGGGGCCTGGGCAGGCTCCATCAAAATGCACGGCCAGTTTCCTCTTCCCAGCACCCAGCACCTGTCTATGCAAGTCACACCAGCACAACGCTCACTGATTCACTTCAACAGAATCAGAGAGATTTCTGAGGGCTCCAAGCACAAGCAAGTAAACACCAGGATGGACAAAGTGGAGGAAAAGGGGTAAGGTGGGGAGAGATGGGGGGTTACCCCTTCAGTGGGAACCTCTGCTGGATGGAAGTTGCGCCCCCATTTACTCTGAGTCAGCACAGCTCTGTAATCCTTGCAAAGGAAGTTGAAATCACTTTTCCAAGAGGTTCTTCTTTTCAAGCCCCCGTTTCCAGCAATAACAGTAACACTGGCTCCGTTTTAGGGTTGAACGCTGTTAAGATTTCAGTCCTCTTCCTGTAGCTGAAGTCACTTATCAGCACTTTCTCCAGAGGGACTTAATTGGTGACACTGGGTTGCAGAGCGCTAAACTGTGCGGCTCTCAAAGCATGCGAGGTGTCCCCGGTTTCAGATTCCTTTGGAGCCTGTAGTGAGCGCGGCTCCTCACGCGGGGCCTCTCTGCCCTTGACTTATTCCAGGCAGCTG